TACAAAACCATCACCTAGCAAGATTAAATAATATTTTATTGAGTTCATAACTAAAAAATTACAGCTATTATAAAATTCAGAGTTGTTAAAGTATCTAGATATAAAAATATGGTATCTGTATCTAGATATTATTTTAGAGGTATCTGTATCTGTTTTTAGATAGTTTTTAAGATAAATTTTGATATACTATTATTTAATGCTTTTTTGTATTATAAATAAAAATACTTGAGTGTAAATTTATTTTATTTCACATGAGCTATAAATTTATATTAATATATATTAAAAAATTATATATATATGTAAAATATTAAAACTAATATATAAAAAAGAATATATAAATATTAATTAAATATTATGTCCGAGTTATCAATAACAAGCAAATTCTGATATTACAATCCATCTCAAGGAATTTGCCTTTTTAATTGCAATGGAATTGGTATTTTATTTTATTATATTAATTTTTAAGATTAATATTTATGACAAAAATGACGAAATACCATGGCCATTTATAAACCATATTTTAAAATAATATCTCAAAATAAAGAAAACAAATGTCTGTTAGTAAAATGTTTGCCATGTCCAAAAAATATGAAAATTTCAGTTAGCATTACCTCAACTTGCAACATTGTAAAACATTTAAGGGTATAGATACTAAATAAATGTTTACAATTTTAATTTTAAATTTTAAGAGAAAACATCAAACACTCTTAATCCAAATAAAAAAGGGAAAGGAGAAAAAATTTATTAAAGAAAATATTGGACTAGGCTCATCGTCCATTGTTTTTTTTTCAAAAGACCTCAGACTTTAACCCAAACCATTTTAGATGATTTAATATCTGATTTTATTATAGATAGCATTCAGCCATTTTCAATTGTTGCAAATCCATCATTTATAAAAATGATCAAAACATTAGCTCCACAAAAAAATATAATTTGCAGACAGACAGTAGTTGCTAGAATTTCCCAAAGATGGGAGAATGAAAAGAAGAAAATCATTAAAAGTCTAATAGAACCATCGTTAATATGCACAACAACAGATTGTTGGAGTGCCTATCGCCGGTAAACAAATTTCCCATCTCATTATTAAATTGAAAAATTTTAAACAAATGAACCTGAAATTTTGTTTACCACTCTTAAATGCCTTACTTAAAGGAATTGAAAATAGGTAAATTAATAATAAATTAATCAGTATTTAATAATTCTAGGTTAATTGGGACAATTTTTGAAGATAAAAATATTTTGGCAACTATGCTTCATCCTTTTTTTAAACTAGATTGGACATGGTTGCAAATGGATGAAAATTTTAATTTAAAAAAAACAATTAATACAAAGATTAGTTCAGGAATTATCAGTCTTCAAATGAGTGCAAATTAACCTCTGAAAAAAAACTAATAATTTAATATCCGATTTTTTTCAGTATCCCACAGCAGGAGATATGATTGTTAATGATTTAAATTCTGATAATCAACAAATTTTAAATAGTTTTTTCAAAAATGAATGCCAAGATTTTAGTATTTTTAAACAATATCCTGATATAAAAATGTTATTCATTAAATATAACACCACAATCTCTCCCAGCACTCCTGTTGAAAGACTTTTTATAATAGCTAAAAATGTCTTTACAGATAAACGAGGATGTCTTAAACCAAAATTTTGAAAATATTTTATTACTGAAATCTAATAATTATTTATAATCATTTAATCATATATTATATTATTTTATTAATGACATATAATAATTATTTTATTAATGACATATAATAATTATTTATAATATTAATCATATATTATATTAATATCTAAAAATCATTATTTTAGTTATATTTTGATAAATGTGATATCGAGTCAATAAATTTTTTAGATCATTTCATGAATTTTCAAAATAGAATCCTAATTTAGGTTTATTCAAACCTTATCTAAGAGTATAATAAAAATGTATCTGTACCTAGATACATTTTAAATTGTATCTGTATCTAGATAAATTTTTAGACTATGTATCTGTATCTAGATCCATATAAAATGTATTTTTTAACAACTCTGATAAAATTAATAAAAACAGTATATTCATGCCGCATCACGTCAATACCGCGAAATGCATTATCGCAAAAAGATATTACCGCGAATGCATCATAGCGAAAACAGTATCATGAATGCATTATCGCGAATGCATTATAGCGAATGTATGACCGTGAATGCATTTTAGCAAATGTATTAAAGATAAGACATTATCGCGAATGCATTTTCGCGAAAACATTATAGCTAATGTATTAGCGCGAAAGCATTATCGCGAATGCATCATAGAGAAAACAGTATCACGAATGCATTACAGTAAATGTATGACCGCGAATGCATCATAGCAAATGTATTAGAGCGAAGACATTATCGTGAATGCATTTTCGCGCAAACATTATAGCGAATGTATTAGCGCGAATGCAATACCGCGAAATTATTATAGCAAATGCATTACAGCAAATATATTATCGCGAATGCATTATAGCAAATGCACGCGAATGCATTACAACGAATTAATTATCGCGAATGTAATATCATGAATTAATTATCATGTATGCAATACTGATTTATATTTGACAAATGATCGATATAATTAATATAAAGTTTAAAATTCTTTACTACTTATCCAATTACTTCTTTTAATATATAGTTCATCTTTATTATGTTTTTATATTTTAAATATATTTGGGAACAATAAATTTGTCATCTTTTGGAAATTCCTAGCTGATAATATATTTCCCGATCTCTATTTTTCTAAAGAAATTCTTTAAACTCACTAATTATATTGTAACTCATTTAGCAAGTTGAGACCTTTTTCAAAAAACGAGAAAACCAGCCTAATTGACGTTTCTTGTAACTCTAAAACACGTCACTTGCTATTTATGAAGTTCAGTATTCTCAATTTTTTTTAATAATTAGATTAAATCGTTTTTTAAGAAATTTGAAATACTAATATAGATCAATATAATGGGAACACGTCTAGCTTATTTTTATTCCAATAAAATATATACGCTAAATTAAATAAAATCAATTTATGAAGGTTTATTCTTTTTATTTGATAAATATGAAAATAAAAATAAGCTAGACGTGTTCCCATTATATTGATCTATAGTAGGACGCTCGCCTTTTTTTCAAATTTTTTTCGTAATTATAAATTATAATAGAAAACACAAAGCATATTTTGAGATCCGTAAAATTATTAAAATATTAAAAATTTATGTAATTAATTTATCCTTTTTTTTCTTGCATACGCCAATTTGATATTAAGGGCCATATTTTACCAATGTTCTTTTTAAGTTTGTAAGATTCAAAAGGTTGTAGCCTATTACTTGATAGTTTTTCGATATATGGAACCCGTATCTTGAGGTCTCGTTAAAGCTGTTGAACTGGACTAATATTCCACTCTTTCCAATTTTTCTTCTCATGGCATAATTTTATCATTATCAGATATAGAATAAATATATGAGGTAAAATTTTTTTAGCAATTTTATTGATGTAACAGTAGTAGATTCATGAAAGTTACGGAATCGAGTGTATCCTGATGATAATAATTACCATATTTCTGAAAACCTCTGGTAAATAAAAAGATGAATACAAGTAGAGGTCATCCTAATCAATTTTCCTCACTAAATGAAACATCTGAAAATTCTTATGGCCATTATGTTACATTATTATCGATAACAAAAAGCAACGTTGTAAGCTTGTCAGAGGCAGACAAGATATAAGTAACATGTGTCAAATACCAATACATATTGATTGTTTAAAAAAAATTCATAAAATATAAAAATTACAAAATTGTATCTTATAAATATAAAATATGTTAATAAATTTTAAAAATATGAATTCATATTTCGATTTTTTGCACTAATAGAATTTTATCTTATCTTTATACCCCTAAAAGTCAACGTTGCAGATATGCAACGGTTCAGATTTTTTTATGATTTCTTAGTTAGACTAAAATAAATAAAAAATTATGTGGTTTTTAGTAAATCTATAATTTAGAGGAAATATATTCATCCTTTGGCCCACCAATATATAAGAGCTATGGTATTAAAATTTGAATACTGCTTTAGGCCTGAATATAAAATTTCAACTAAATAGCAAAGTCCCGCAAAAACCATGTTTTTTAGTTCGATTTGACATGGAATGGCCCATAAATCAAGTAAAAATAATTGTTCATTATTTATATATTTTTTTTATATATCGATAACTTTTAAATAAAAAATCCCTCCGACGTCTTATTTATAATTAATTTTACAAATTTCCTTATGTTTTTTGAAAAAAATAAGATGATAATGTTTTATATATAATATTTGTTTACAAGCCAATGTAATGATATCATATTACGTGCTATCAAATCCGCAATTCCATCTAGACTGGAACCAAACGGTATTTTTAGAACCGATGGAATGTCCTTAATTCCTTGGTCAAGGGGTCAGCTCCTGGTTTGGGAGTTGACCTTCATTGATCCAAATGCACCATCCCACCATTACATCGTTGCCCTCGCCCTCACAGAAACCCAGAAAATCACCAAAAACAGTTCCATACATCCTATTTTCTCATTCATACCCATAGCCTGCTCCATTCGCATAGCAAGGCTCATTTTTTAAAGAATGGGCAGACGGTTCTTGAAAAAACCGATCAGCCTAAGGAATCTCTTTTCTTACGACAAAGGCTTGCTATCACCATTATTAGCTTATCTAAGTTTTATATCTACCATGCCTCATTATGCTTCCTTTCTTCGCTTCTCTTTCCTAGTTTTTATTTACTATTTTCTTTTTTAGACATCCTCCTTTTAAAATCCTTTATTCTTTAACCTTTCCACTAGATTCTATTTTTATATTTTTCACATTCATTAATTTTATCTTACACAAAAACAATTCTACGTCATTACCTATTGATATTATATTATATCAACTTATTCAAATAAAGTAAACAATGACCAGTTAAAATAAAAAAGAAGTTACAAACAGAAATAAGAAAATTACTTCAAAAAGCGTCAAATTTATGACCACATCCCTATCCTTCCAAGGAGAAGGGGCCGGGTCGAACCCTTTCATTTCATCTGAGCTTTGGTGGCACACGTAGGCTAGGCCCTTCTCGATAAGTCTGACGGCCATAAGGTAAAGACGGTTGAAGTAGTCAGATGAATGAGTTATCCTGTAGGGGGTGTAGCCTAAGTAAGTAATATGAAAATTGAGATAATGTATTGTGATTGACTACACGTAAAAAAATTGCCTACTTCGAATGTAGGAAAAATTTATATTATCATTATTAATATCAATGTAAAAATATATTTATTGAGTGAGAGTTCAAAAATAAAAGTATTAGCGTAGAGATTTAATGTATTATTTGGTATAAGAAAGACAAGGAATATATGGGGGGAAATGTCAAGCTCCAGTCGTCAAAAATCCTATCTTAGCCTTCTCGAGCATTAGCTCATATTTGATAAGCCTATAAATTTAATTCTTAGGTCCCAAGCCGATTTAAAAATCGAATTGCAGTGTTCTAATAGTTTAGTAAAATCAATTTAATGCTTAAAAACATTCATGCGCTCACAAAAAGATGGATGTTAAAAAATGGCATAATAAAACGATTATGAAATCTATTGCAGGAAAGATGAGGTCAAAGACGTTTTAGGATCGTTATTCTCAAACGGCTTTACAACCGATTTTTTGTAACAAATTTGGATAGGTGTTATAGACTGAAAAATGTAATAACGAGAAAGCATTAAGGAGTAACAACATGGTTAAGTACTAAGTACACCAAGCTATTAAAATGGTATTGTTAAGATCATAGGAATATGTTTTGTTCGGAAGTATGATTTAAACAGTTGTTTTAAAATGCTCATTTTTATTTATTATGTTTCAGAATTATAATATTGATTAATAGATTTTTATTTTAATATTCAGGCTTAAATTGTCAGTGAGAGATGCCATAAAAAGGGACAGCTGTATAAATCCTTTCAAATCGTCCATTAGTAAGATTAATGACTTTTACACCATATGTTAAAAAAAACTACAACATTTTACTTATCATTTGAGTACAATAAGCCCGTTTATCATTAATTATTCATAAAATCTTTTCATTTTCTTAAGTTAAAATTTTACTGTGTCCATCCAACTGGACGTCTGAAAAATTTTTATTTGGGCCTGGCCGGGTAAAAAAATTATTGAACTAGATTATTGATGAATTTTGATATTTGATAGAAGTTATATTCCATAGAGTGTAGTGTTTTTAATTTAACCACTCCTCAATATTATAAATAGTTTAGTTTGTTGTTCAATTATATATATTTGGGTTTTGCTTTGGAAACAGGCTGGGCTGAATATATATATCAAAGACTAATTGTATAAAATTTGGTTCAAAAATTACACGGGATTATAAAAAATGATGATACCACAAAAATTTATATTATTATTTTATTGCAACACTAATATTTTTCTCTAACAGGCATTCTGTCATATTATTGAAAGATATCGTTTTAAAAAAATCCTTATACTAAGACTAACTAGGCTTAATTTTGGTTCTTAATTATGAATTATAGTCAGAAAAGTAAACCAGACACCATTAATAAGTTTTTTTTAATATATAGATTTTGATATAAGGTAATATCTTTAAAATACGCTTAAAGGTTTACTTATTTTTATTTTTTAAATCTAAAAATTACTATTCAGAAGAGCCATTTATAATATCAAAGAAAAAAAGACAAGTCGATTTTAAAACTTTTTTTATAAAAATTCGTGCCATGGGCCACGACTCTAAAATTTTATACCATCTTGCAATCTAGATGTTATTCAAAAGTGTAATTTGCCACTACTCAATTATCTTACTATATTATTTTTCCTGGAGATATAAATTGTTTATGTATATTCATGTAAAAACCATAATATTATAAATCCCATTAAAACAAAATAATAGAGCCAAATCATCTAATCAAATAATTTTCAAACTTTGGGAGTGGGGGAGATGGGTGGGGTTAAATAATTTCTAATGGGCATGTGCGTTAAATTATTTTAGAACAAATGGATGGGTGTTCCCAGTGCCCCCTATAACGGGTGGGGGGTCCGAAGAGTGGGGATACTTTAAAAATTTTTTTATTGTTTTGCTATATCCATCCATAACTAAGTGATTTCTGGTTTATGAATGAAATAATAAGACCCCCCCCCCCATTTATTATTTAATTTAATATGTATTGACAAAAATTTTGGTCGATCCAAAAATATTAACCAAAAAAATACAAATGCTTAATTAAAAATTGTTAAAAATTGCACATCCCATAATATAAGAGATAATAAATGGACAGACCACATTAGAAAAAGACATGGTGGGCTTAATTTGAAGAAAAGCTTTGAAATAGTAGCCTTTAAGAATATTACTCAAAATTGAACAAATAGCAAAGTAATGCCTTATTAAACTCATTGCAGATTCTGAACCTGTACTCAAAATGTATATACAACAAAATAAAGAAAGAAGAAGGGAGACAAAAAAATAAGAGATTAAAAACGTATTATATTCAAATCTATTATCGTTGAAAATAGTGAAACGAAGCCCCTTGAAAGACTGATAGACATATATTGTACGGGAAATACAACTGGTCTCGATATTAAAAAGAATATAATATCCAAACTTGGCTACATGAATTTACCAGCTATGATGGCGCCTCAAACATGAGTGGAAGAATCAATGGAGTGCATTGATTAGAGCGGAGGCGCCAAAAGCAGCTTTTATTTGGTGATATTGTCATCGATTAAATTTAATCATTGTTCAATTATGTCAATCAATAAAAGAACTGCGTAATTTTTTAGGAATATTAGACGAGATTTTTATATATTTTAATGGTGTTAAAAGATATGAGTGCTCAAATCATGTCAAAGTAATGTATTGAGTAAATCGCAACAATTTCGTTAATATTATTTTATTTGTGTAGATTTAAAATGTTTATTTTATATTTATAGAAGCTAGCTCTCGTCATATGCTATTGTAAATTTTTTTATACTTTATAATGCCTTGAGGGCAGCTTTAATAAATTTAAATGATTCTGAAGATCCTGCCGCTTCCACAATGGCTAGTGCTATAGTCTATTGTTGATAACAAGTAGAGATGTACCGATATTTTTAATCGGATCGGGCCGATATTTCACCCGTTTTATAATATCGGTCACCGACCAATATTATAAAATTTTCCGAATCGAACCGATATAAAATGGCGTCTTTAACAAAAATAAAATGTTATAAAATTTTTTAAAAAAGTTATATCTAAAATCATTTTTTTAAAATAATAATAATTAATTAATAAACATTCTGCCATATTGTTATTTTTTTGCGCATTCTGTTTATAAAAGTGTGTGATAATCTCTTCAGAATCTGTTTTTAGTTAAGCTGGTGATATTGACAGTTACCATCGCCGCAGGCTGACCTTTGGTAAATTGGAAATTTTGGTACTAAAAAGAAATCTTCGATATATTAATGAATATTATTTTAAATATTTATTTCAAATTTCATAATAAATTTGTTTATTACTTATGTATATAGGTTAATGTTATTACTTATTATATAAAAGTGATTTAACAATAAAAATATTTTATATACTTTAAGAATTCCAATTGAATTGAATAAAAACTATAACTGATCATTGTAATATATTTAATGACATAAGTTATGGTATAGTTAAATTATAAATGTTATACTAATAAAAAGTATATTAAAAATTAAAACTATTGGTATCTTTACAGAATACAAATATAGATATGATATCGGATTGGTAATCGGCCGATAATTTAATATCGGGAATATCGGATCGGATCTGCCTCCAAAAAGTGGTATCGGTACACCCCTAATAACCAGTTTGGCTTGTACAAAATTGCAAACCATTTTGAAGGATAGGATTTGCAATAAATCAAATTCAATTGGCAAAAGATTGCTGATTAATTTGTGAAGTATAATTTAAATAATTGTTTTAAATTATTTTTTAATCCTAATATATAATAACACTGAATTTTTGGATGTTTCTTCAAAGGCACAAGATTTTATGAAGGAGAGAAATCTACCGTTTGATTTTGAAAGTTCCAGACTTTAAACATTACAATCCAAAAAGGAGGGGTATATATATATATACTTTCATCATTAAATATATTATTTTTTTAGCTTTAAAACCAGTGCGTTATTGCTGCAGTTGATTTGATTATTATGCAGTTTAATGAAAGATTTAATGATGAATCAATGAAATTTTTAAATCAAACATCATTTTTACACCAGAGGGAATGGCGGAAAAGCCAATGTTAAAGATGATATCGAGGATATCTGTGAATTTTACCATTTAAAATGTTGAAGTTTCGAAATATTTATAAGATGGCTAAAATTAGTGATCTGCATCGGGCCTAATTTTTCAAGCCCGGCCCGAAATTTTTTTTAAAAATGTTTTGCCAGTCCGGCCCGAACCCGAAATTTATTTTAAATAAATTTACCGGCCCGGCCCGAACCCGATTATTTTAAATAGAATTAGGGACTCTGGTCGGATACGGGCCGGGCCTAACTTTGCAGATCTCTAGCTTAAATGGGGGATGTAATTATTACTCGTGACCTAGAGGTTAAAGAATCTAAAGATTTGTCAGATTCTGAGAATTGTAAATTTATTTAATTAAAATATTTTTACTAATACATTATTTAGCTTCTTCTTCTTCTGATGATGATAATTCTGAGACTTATGGTTCAGCCTGGAAAAATTATTCGTTTAATTTTTCTCCTTTCCCTAATTTAACAATTTTATATAATTATTTATTAACCATTCCTAGTCCTACTACCTCATGTATTGCCGAAAGGGTCATGAGTAAAATTAAATTAATTAAAACAAGACTTCGTATATCCATTTCTCATAATTTAGCCATTTTATCAATGGAAATTTTTTTTTATTTTAACAATTAAATATTGATGAAATTATAAATTATTTAGCTTTCTCTTCCTTTAATTTATCTAAATTATCAATTTAAAAATAATATTTTTATAGTATATATTTTACATTTTATTTATATTATATGTTAAAAATTTATGCAATGAAATTGAAATTTATGAGTGTCAAATTTTTTAAAACATTTTTCAAGGGGTGGAGAGGAGGGGTACTTTTCAGGGGGTATTCTGTTTCCATCGCTCAAAAGGTGTAGAGGCCACTGGGTGTTCCAGTTTAAAACCCGCGCATTTCAGGGCTTTAGTACAAAATGCTTAACTGTGCCTTCCCGCTTATTACATTTGCTATATCCATTTGAAAATAACGTTCCTAAAACGGTGTCAGTGATGAGCATTCGTTTTTCCCATCTCAATTCGTGATCACATGAACTTTTTGAACATAACATTGTTTAACTTTACCGAAACTATATAGAGAGACTAATGTCAGATATGGGTATGGCCAATAGTAAAAAGTTTAATAATTTTTCAACGGAATACATAGGAAATATTTGTAAAGAAGAATAACACTTAAAGAAAACTTTCGAAAAATAGGAACAAACAAAATAATAAATTTTAAGATAAAAATTTACCTAACCAAGACACCATCTCTTCAATACCCAAAAAGAATTTTTCCTCCTCTTTTTCAGGATTTGTATCGTCGTACCGAAGGTAACATATTCCATCGTTGGCCTATAAGTATTAAGGAAGTTTATAATATTACATAATATATAATAATTATTTTATTTTTTATGGGGCTAAAATTTTTATTTATTTTGGAATACAGGAATTCCACTATGAAGAAGTTTTAAAAAAATGTTCAAAAATTTATCATGTTAGTGAATTAAGATTCTTGCCAAGCTTATATCTTTTCTAATTTGTGGTATTGAAGACTGAGTTAAGGGACCTGGGTAAACTTGGATATTTTTTCTAAATATTTTACAAGAGAATCAACAAGTCTATTTCATAAGATGGCATTAATATTAGATAGACCATAACCTTAATTTTAAAATTTGTTTACAAGGAAGATGAAGCGAATATTATTCGAAATGATAAAATGTATTGGCATAAATACATTTCCCAAAACAGTTGATGGTGCCACGTTAATCTCAGAAAATATTGAATATAAAATTTGGCTCGACTTTTAAAATTTTAATTTAGGAATTCAAGGATGAAACGCAACTAATATTAATCTAAATTCAAATATCTCTCAGCAAATTAGATATTTTTCATAGAGCAGAATTAATCCTTTCAAAGTCTAAGCAAAATGCACGTATGATTATATCTATCCAGTCCCGCCATTTGAAAAAAAAATATTTTGTTCTGCAAAAATGAGTTTAAAACGCATTTTAGATTATTCATTATTCTTGAATAAAAATCTCGTTATTAATTTTATACTAAAAAATATAAATAAATTTAAATAATTAAATCAGCTGTGAATGAAATTTTTTTGCGAGTAGAGGTAGACGTAATTTTCTGAAGTTAAAATTTTGTCAGTTGACGAAAATTTTTTCATCTTCAGAGTACATATGTGATCTATAATTTAAACATAAAAAGATTTTTTTTCTCTTTAGCTTTCACCTTTTCTAGTGGTAAGCTCCTTCAAGGGGAAAAAATTAACTTTTATACTAGAATAAGTCTTGAGAAAAAAAGTATAAAATATTTTAAAAAATTTATTAATGTATAACTTTAGGTAAGTGTTTGGGTTATCTCATGTTATTTCATAAATTCAAATACAACCATTATTATCATACTTATGATAATTTTGACATAGATTGCGCCGAAGCCCTAGTCTCTACTAATGGATAAGAAGTTTGTCATAAGATTACTTAACAATATTTATTGGTTAGCTTAAAATAATTCCCGTTTAAATCTTTATAAATGATTTTGCCGCTTATATTTAAAAGTATATTTATCTTCTATATTTTTGATATTTTAATATCTAAGATTTGATTCATACTATCTCTTTTATCTAATTTATACTTGGCTCTAACTTTATGGCCCCATTCAAGTTTTGGCCTTCCTCTTTTACGTTTTCCCATATAGTTTGTAGACTTCTCTCGTCTGATTCTTGGCCATGTTTCCGAACTATATAGAATAGTTGTTTGTACTAAGGAACTGTGAATTTTTCCATTCAATTTGTGTGGGATTTATTTGTCAGAGAGCACTCCAGATAAAGATCTCCACTTTAACCACCCTTGATTAATTTTACTCTTTATCTTCTCTATTGTGCCGTTGTATAGTGGAGCCCAAATATTTGCAGCTATTAATTGCCGATATCTGCCATTCATTTATAACAATGCTCTCTGTTTCATCTCCTCCTATCACCATATATTCCGTCTTTCCTCTGTTTAATTTTGGTCCGTGCTTTTCTAGGATATTCATCCAACTCGCTAATCTTTCTTCTATTTCATCCTTGGATTCGGCAAGTATCACAATCTGCAAATATCATATTCCACGGGACTAATTGAGGTATAGACTGTGATAATACATCTATTACTGTAATGAAGAGAAGTGGGCTGAGAGCCGACCCTTGATGTACTCCCTGGGCTTGTGAAGCCTGTTGAAGTACCAGTTGTGCTACGGACCATTGTTGTATGGCCCATATACATATCCTTTATTATTCTTATATATATTTTTCGGGAACCTTTTTGTGGCATAGCACCCACCAGATAAGTTTTCTTGGGATTCTATCAAAGGCCTTTTCTAGATCGAGAAAGACCGTGTGTAGCTTTTTGTTCTTTTCCCTGTATTTTTCGCTCATTTGCCTAATTGCGTAGATTGCATCAGTTGTTGATCTTCCAGGCATAAAGCCAAACTGAGTCTCTCCATCTCTTAACCTTTTTTCTATTGTTTTTTCGTAAAGTTTTAGAGTGTGACATAAGTTTTATGCCTATGTAATTTTGAGAATTGTGTGGATCTCCTTTATTTTTAATGATAGGAACTAGATAGCTCTGCTTCCATTTTTGAGGAATCTCTTCTTTTCACAGTATTTTCTGTGAGGCTCCTAAAGCTTTAAGGCTTTCTATTGGAATATCATCTGAACCCCTAGCTTTGTTGTTTTTCATATGCTTGAGGCAGTTATTATTTCTTGTTCTCTTATTTGCTGTATAAGGTTTTAACATGGGGAGTGTTCATCTAGATGTAGTATGTGGGGATTAAAGTTGAGAAGCTCCTGAAATTATTCTTTCCATCTATTCATTTCTTTTTCCTTTATTATCAATTTCCCATCTTTATTTTTAATTACTTTCGGAGCTCCATTTATATCCCTGGAATTCTCGCTAATCTGTATATTTTATTTTGCCCTTCTTTATTATGTAGTTCTTCATACATGTCATATATGCCATAGCTTTGGCCCTAGCTACCGCCTTTGTAGCTATTCTCTTGGATTTTTTGTAATTTGCCTTGTCATCTAAGTTTTTGGATTTGTACCATTTTTATATAGGGTTTTTTTCTCCTGTATAGTGGTTTGTACCTCTTCATTCCACCACCATAGTTCTTAGTATGATTTGTTGCCTCCCCTTGTCAAGCCTAATGTCGATTTGGTAGTGTCTATTAATCTGGATGAAAGGTCTGTCCACATTTTTCACTGACTTGTGAGGAATCTTTTGTTTCAATGTTTGTATTGATTGCAAATGCATCTGTCATTGATTTTAATCTACCCCATTTGATGAATATCTTGTTTTGAGTGGATTTATTTGTGATGTGTAAATCTATGACTAGTAGCTTGTGTTGCGCGGCAATATCTTATCCTGGGATGACTTTGCAGTCTATTACATCTTTTAATTTTCTGTGAGAGATAAGCATGTAATCTATCTGAGTTTTTCTTGTACCACTTTCATATGTTATTAAATGACTGTCTTTTTTCCTATAGTAGGTGTTGGTTAAGACAAGGTCGAAGGCTTGCACAAATTTCAGTACTTGCTCTCCTTCATCATTTCTTTCTCTATATCCAAAACCACCATGATGCCTTTTGTAGCTGTCTCTTGCTTTCCCCACATGCGGATTCAAGTCTCCACCTATTATGACTAGATCATCCTTAGGGATTTCCATTACACCTTCATCAAAGATAGCTCTAAAGTCATCTTTCTCTTCTTCTTTGCAATCCGTTTGAGACATATACTGAAGGAATGTGTAGTATTGATTGATCAATGCAGAGTTTATTTTCATTAGTCTATCAGAGATCCTGTTGACTTCTACCACCTGAGGATAATGCCGACACCATTCCTATTGCTAAGAATTCCATTATAGTAAAATTTATAACCATCCAATCATTAAAGTTTTCGGACCTTTCCATTTCGTCTCTTGTATGCACGTTATATCAACTTTTCTCTTGTTCAACATTGATGCCAATTCTCTCGTCTTATCTTTAAGTGTACCAATATTCAAACTTGCTAACTTTGTCTTCTTTGCTTTGACTTTTATTTTACTTTTCACAGAATGGAGGTCTACACCCTGCACGTCGCTTGGAGGGAACGCCCTAGTTTTCATATTCCTATTTTTGTTTATTGGACAAGTATCCTTAGCACCCGGCTGTCCAAGCCTGTCAGTGACCGGGGTGTCATCTCTAAGCTCCGAAATTCATCTAACCATATGTCTTTACACATCAGTCATAGAAGAAAAACCAGAAAATTTTTATATTCATTACCAGGATTGAACCTGGGACCTTCTGTTTTCAAGCATACATTATAACCCATTAGGCCACCCCGGCGATAAACATAAGGAGTTATATTTAAAGGAATATCATTATGAAAATTGAGTTTTGAAAATTGTAGTATAATAATTTTAAAAAATTTCAAATATTTGAGCGGATTTTCCTGTGTGGATATCCATATGATATAATTTATAGCAGTATCAAATACCATCGTATAATAGTAAAATATCTTACTAATGATAAATCGATATCAGGAAATAACGTTTAAGATTATTTAAAATAAAAAAACTTTAATGACTTATTTAATTAACGTAAAATATTTTCAAAAAAATAGTCTATATTTTTAAAAAGCTATAATGAAATATATAATTTTATTTAACAAAACCTGTGCATAACCGAAATCAATGTTTATGGCCTTGGCGTGTCCTACATGCAAAATTCCGTTAGGTTCGGGTGGAAATCGGGTAACCACCCGTGACCCTGTTCTTTCTAAATGCTCCTTAAGTAGAGTAGGAGTATGGGGCGTTATAACGTAACCATCGGTTTTGTAATTTTCGCCTGAACGAGGTGATGGAAATATTATTTGCGGAAGAAAAATAATTATTTTCATGATTTATAGATTGAAATTTGATTAGTGTGATACTAACATTTAAAAAAATAAATGATTGTCAAATAATGCGGATTTTAGGCAACCTAAATTGATAAGGATCATGCGTTTCAGAAAAAAATGAAAAGTCAAGTGCCTAATTGAAAAAGATTCTCATAGAAATGTCCATTTTATATATTAATCATTTTTTTAATGGACCAATTAGTGTTGTTAAACGCTACTTATAAAAGTAGGGTGATATTGCTAGCTATTTTTTTTAAAATTAGCGCGCTATTAATTACTTTTCACACTAATTTTGATATATTTTCAATAGTTTTATTATTTATTTCAAAAAATCATCTATAGTAGGTGGCGTTTTTGATCTGGCTAGGGTATCCTGGTTTGGTATAGTATTATTTTTACCATTAGCCTATTAAGCTGCCTTTAGATTAGGTTAAATTAATGTATAGCCAATTCAACAAACTAGGGTGAATAATAGCAGCTATATTTAACATTCAGATAATAAAGATAATTTCTCCCAAAATATTACCTTCAACCTCCTCGTGGCGGGAGGGGGGGGCAAAATCTGTAGGTGCTAATGAAGGTCTATAAGGTTCCCTGTGGTCTTGGTCTAGAATAGGATCACTTTCTCCTCGACGGGGTGTAAAAACCATCTGGTTGATATCAGGAAGGGCATCCGATTGTAAAAACATGCTATAAAATTTCCTAATGATTACAACAAAGCATGGGTGGGGTACAGCCCAAAGTACTCCGTGGGCCTCCTCATCTGCCTACGACAAAAAGAAAGATGAGAAACCTGATGGAACCACGATTCGTGAAAATGAAACATAATGGTCATAAACGACCTGGTAATAAGAAGAGAAATTAGAGATAGAGTAAGAGTCGTGACATGGAATGTTGGGAGCATGACGGTAAGAGCGGGAGAAGTGGTCGATGTATTGCATAGAAGGCATATAGATGTGTGTTGCATACAAGAGACCAGATGGAAAGGCAATGACGCAAGAACGATTGGCAAGACAAGTGAAAAGTATAAATTTTTCTGGCAAGGAAGCAATGATGGTAAGACTGTCGTTGGGGGATTGGTTGCGGAGAAATGGGTGGACAATGAAAGGCTAAATAACCATATAATGGTTATCAAGATGATTTTTGGTATAAAGCTATACAATATTATTTCGGCATATGTTCTTCAGGTTGGTGGGACAGTCTAATTTGGGCGATATCGAGACTGGCAAATGAAGAGGAGATCTGGCTGATAATATGAATGAACATGTGGGAGCGAATAGTGAGGGTTATGAAGGAGTAAATGGAGGTTTTAGTAAGGGCATGAGAAATCTGGAAGGGGAGAGGATTTTAGATTTTAGTGATGCTATGGATATGATTGTTTGTAATACAATGTTTAAAGAATCAGAGAAGCTGGTGACTTACAAGTAGAGTAGTGCTAAAAGTGCAGTGTATTATTTGTTAGTAAGGAGATGTGATAGGAGCATAGTAAAGAATGTGAAATTGATACCGGGAGAGGAATGCATTAATCAGCACCGACTACTTATAGGAGATCTCACTTTTAAAGGCGCCAGGATCATTAAATAAAAGTGTGTGCCAAGGCGGTTTGGAAATTGAAGGAAAGTGTTAGTAATATGATATTGGCAATAAGAGAGGAGGGGGTGGCAAAAGCATATGGTGTAAATGGCTAGTGGGAAGTCATGATGAAAGCCTGAGTGAAACTGAGGAGGTATGTGAATGAACAAAAGGGCCGCCAAAACATAAGGAGGCATCGTTGTGGAATCCGGAGGTAGCGAAAGCTGTGGACGAGAAACGGAGGTGCTTCAAAGAATGGTATAATAAAGAAAATAGTGTTAACGTTATTTACAATATGGCGAAAAGAAATGCTAAGAAATTGAACAAGAAGAAAAAAGGAAAATGTAGCCCGAATGGCAAAACAGATGGCAAAAAGAGATAGGATGTGGTAGGTGTTAAATATTTGAAAAATATGGAAGGAAAAATGATGATTGATAGTAGTGTTATTAAGAACACCTGGAAAATCTACATGGAAGAACTTTTGAACGAAGAAAATGAATGGGATAATGATGTTAGTTGTGCAAAGGTAGTAGGTCCAGGGTGTAAATTTGGCAAGGACAAAATAAAGAGAGCAGTGAATAAGATGAATAAAGGGAAGGCAAGGGGTTTAACGATCAGAGATATTTAAAGGTCCTGATGACTTAGGGATTGAATTTGAATGGTTAATAAATTTAGCCAATCTAATTATCACAGAAGGAAATATTCCTGAGGATTGGCGAACAAATATCATTAATCCTGTATACAAGAGGAAAGGTGATCCTTTAAATTGCGGGTTTTATGGAGTTATTATATTGGAACATGCAATTAAGGTATTTGAGAGAGTTAGAGAAGTGGATAAGAGAACAAACGAAAATTGATGAAATGCAGTTTGGTTTTATATAGGTAAAGGGACGTCATGAGACAAATACAGGAGAAGTATCTTGCGAAGGAAAAAATACTTTATTATGCGTTTGTTGATTTGGAGAAAGCATTTGACAGGGTGCCGCACGATGTTACTAGATGGGCCTTGATAAAATCATGTGTGTAAGAATGGTTAGTTATGGCAGTGATGGCAATATATATAGGTGCACAAACTGCTGTACGGACGGATGTGAAGATAGTGAAAGCTTTGAAGTGAAGGTAAGATTTCATCAAGGATCCGTGTTGAGTCCATTATGATTTTTCTTAATGTAGTGGCCTTGGGAGCTATTATATGCAGATGATCTTGTATAAAGGGCAAAATAAGTTGATAGAGATGGCTATAGAAGCAAATGACATGAAAATGAATGCAGCAAAGATAAAGGTGATGATTGATATGTATAATCTGAATATGGAGAAATCTGGCAACTGGCCTTGTGTATGTGGGTAAGGAGTTGCTATAAATTCGATCCAATGCACCAGATGCTAGAAATGGGTGCATAATAGATGTAGCAAGAAAAAAGTGTGATGTTAGCAATATTTGTACGTGCATAAAAGGGGTACATAATACTGATAACGTAGAAAATGGTGGTTTTGATATTAGCAATGTATCAACACTGGGAAAAGTGGAATAGTTTTGTCAGATGGTGGTATAGATTCTACTGTTGTTGCAAGGATCAGACAAGCATTGAAGAAGTTCAGAGAGATATCGTCTATTCTAATAAATCAAAAAGTCTCTCTGAAGTTAAAAGGGAAGGTTTACATAAGCAGCTAGAGGAATTATTTAGTTCATGGCGGCGAAACATGAGAAGTGAAAGCGACCCACGAAGCCAAATTAGAAAGAATAGAAAAGAGAATAAGATGGATATGTGGGGTATCTCTGAGAGAGAGAAAAACTTGCAAGGAATTACGAGTAAGATTGGAGTGGTAATTCCAAGAAATATACTAAGATGGTTTGGGCATGTGGAACGTAAGGCAAAAGATGATTGGGTAAAGAGATGCACCTTGATGGAAGTTAGAGGATCAAGACCTCGTAGAAGAAATTCCATATTATCAACATTTTCCAGAGAAATTACTTATGATCTGTACCAAAGTTATCCAATCTCTATTGTCGACATTTAAAAATTTTAATTATTTTGAAAACTCGATTTATAATGCATATTTTTAATTATAAATTTCAAAATTAATAAAATTAAAGATTATGATTTTAGAATTAATTATAAATATATTTTAATAATTTTATGTGTATTTATTATATAAAATTGAAAATAGAGAAGTAGCGCTTTCTAAATGAGTAGCAAGTTACGCTATCACTATTTTTTTTTAAATGTAGCCAGTTAATGCTACCGCTACTGAAGAAAGTAGCATTTAACAACTCTGGGATCAAGAAAAATATATGGAAATTTGAGAAAACGAAATTAGGTGTAAAAACGTGCCCTTTGAAAAAATTTTTTTTATCTTTTATATATATATAGTTAAATTTTTATATAATCCCATAACTTTGAACTAATACACACAACTTTTTGTTTTTTATTTAAAAAAAATTAAAACACGATTTTTGAAATTTGTTTTATTACATTTAAAAATTCGGTGTGTTTAGAAAATATTTTATAACCCCTCCCTTAAAAAAAATTACTGGATCCGTTTTCTTAATATAGATAATGTAGTATAGTATAAATCAGAGTTATATTTTTTTCAAATATTTAAAAAGAGGTTAGTTTGTAAGCAAAATAATCTGACTAATTTCTCAAAAACTAGTATATTTAACCCTAGATCGTGATTACGTGCTAAAGAAAAACTGAGGGACCTTATATTTTATAAGTGTTAATAATTAAGCAGATCTATATAAACAAGTAACAGGATATTTTGGAAAGGTCGCTCTCAATAAGGCTGATACTTCGATAGCTATATCGTTTTAATAATTATGAATCAAAACCATAATGAATAATGAAAATCATATATAAATTTCATTAAAACCACGGCTAACGATGAATAATAGACAAAAGAGTTAATTGTTATTTCGGTGGAATTTAAAAGATAAAAAAGAAAACAGGTGTCTGTATAAATTACGATTATCGGTATAATTTGCATAATAGTAAATTTAGCACAAATTAACCCCCCCCCCCCACCATGTAAAAGATATTTATATCTAAAATATTTAAGGCGTAATCTAGAAATAATTTCTATCAATATACCTGGCTTATGAAAATTGAGTGTCCTGTAAAATCCCAAATGATCATCATCGTTTGTGTGATCGCCGATTTTATCGTTCCTAGTTTTCAAATCGACCTCCGCACCTTTTATTAAATATAACCAAGATTCTGCATATAAGTTTGATTCAATGAATTATTATGCATATTCTTAATAAATTTTATTTTAAATTATAACAATTTCCTCGTAGTAACCAAAGTGCACATCCAAATTAAATCGAATAAGACCATTCAAATAAATTAATTTTTACCAACAAAAGATTGAGTATTAAATGAAAAACCCGATTCTCAGTATGATTCTAATAAACATCTTCAGCAATTTTAAAAAATGATGCAATAACATTTCAAGCATTAAGTGTTAATTATTTATAAATATTATATATTATAACTTGGTAAGATTGGCATAATAAAGTAAAATTGATTAAAAATCACGATTCAAATCTATTTTATTTTTTAGTATATTTTAAATAATTACTCTTTTTCTTTTTCTTTTCAATAAAAATATTTTATATATAATCCTTAAATTAATTTATTGATATAATAATGAACTCCCTTAAAAAACTCCGTTTTGTTTAAATTTAAGAGGATATAGAGAATCTCTATAATTATTTGAACTTGCTCATATTTAAAAAAATATTGGTATTGAATATATTGAAATGAAATTGTTAATATTAAAGCAATTTTGTAATAATAATATAATAAAATCCGTATATTAGTCCAAAAATAGTTTGTTCGTAAATTTCAAAACTGAAAATAAATTTATAAATACAAATGATTTTTGCCAACTCTAATATATAATGCTACTTACGCTGCATTTATAGTAAGCGCGATTTGCTCAAACGATGTGAAATTATTACTGATTTATTAATACTGAGCGAAACGATGAAATCTTATAAAAACATTATCGCTTAGCAAATAATTTTGCATCATTTGCGCCAATCGCGCTTGCTATAAACGAGGTCTTAGATAATATAAGGGTCATTCCATAATTTACGGACAAACCTCTTTAAAAAAAATCTCCAGGCTTGCGTAATATTTTTTGGCTAAAATGGGCTAGCCGTTTTCAAAAATCGAGCTGTTTAATAACACATTCATAGTTTTAACCAAAAAAAGGCCTTTCTCGAAATATTTATTCAACATTTTATCGGAGATAAAAAAACATTAAGAATATTTTAATTTTTTAAAAGATTTATATATTTTAAAAGCTATAAAAATGATATACAATTTGATACTCTACTATCATATATATTTTTTGAAAACGCGATTTTAGACTTTATAAGGCATATATTTATGATCTCAAAAAATTTAAAACATAAATAGATATCATGCCAAGTCATAATTATTTTAAAGAGGTTGTCTGCTTAATAATAAGGTGGTGTCTTATGTTATACCCAAATGATCTGTCGTTAAGTTTGATTTGAAGGTCTTAACGTTTTCTCGTTTAACATTGACTGGTCCACTTTTTTTATAAGAAGGGATTGTTTGATTGTCTGCAACTAGAATTTCATCGTCGGTTTTGGGACCAAGCAAATTCAGTATCTATCATGTTGGAGAATAATTATGATTTTCAACAAACCTTTATTTAATTCATAGAATTTTTTTGAAAAAACGATATTCTTTAAGTTAATTAAAAATTCTATTTGATTATTAGGAGCATATTATTTATAATATACTACCTAGAGACATGTAGAGGGCAAAATTTTAGGCTTGATGTACCGTAATGAATTAACTTCCCTTAGCCGTTATTTTCGAGTAATATTATTTTCACCGTTATTAGTATTATTACTATTTTTATAAAATTAAAATGTCAACCATTTTTTATATATTGTAAAAAAAATAGAAAATATATTTATTCATTCATTCGGATTTTTCTCTAAAAACAAAAAATACATTGAATAGACTTGTTACAATTATTATAATTTTATTACCATTATTTCGATGGTTACCGTTTAACCAGGATGTCGATTTAAAAAAGTTGGTGTGGATAAAATAGTTTTACATTTATTAAATTATTAATAAAGACAATATGAGGAAACGCTCTGTTAATGAAGGGCAGAGTAAGTTAGGCATTCCTATTATACCGATAAACAATAAAAACATTAACATGTCGATGCTGGCGGACAATATATTAAATATATCTGAGGATATAAAAAATATTTTTAATTTAATTATCCGGATAAACAAATAAATCATTTCAGTGGGAAGGAAGAGTCAGGTACTTGTGAAGTACCGACTGTTTGTAAAAGTTCTGGTGTATCGAAAGATATAACGTAAAGTTTTGAGTAATATAAAACAAAATTCATCGTAGTCTGTGATAGATGAATCACTTGAATGAAAATATTGGTAATTCAGATAATGGGAAAAATAAAAGAAAAATATTACAAATACCTGTAATAGTTGTGGCCGGAAGGGTCATAGTAAAAAAATTGTTTTTAGACCGAAAAATTGATGAGAATTTTAATGCAAAAGTAATTGATAAGGACAATATTGTTTGTCGATGTGGTCCATATTAAGAAAAATACTTCGTGAAAGAAGCAAATTTTTGGAATATGTTCCCTCAGAGGCCTCCAATATTAATATTAATCGGGGGGAGGGGGGGGGGGTAGATATATACATAACTTAAGTCAACTAATGTAGATAATACTAGAAGGATTGTATATTCAGATGCGAAGAGGTTGGTCATATCGCGGTGAATTGTGTTCAATCCGTGAGTGAAGTGCAATGACTAAGCATCAATTAAAGGTTGAGAGACCATATCATTATAATATTAAATTATTTAATATATATAGTGTTTTAAGAGATCCGGAGGATATATTTAATAAAAAAAAACTAGTGACATGAGAATGAAAACCGAATTTTAACTAAAATAAAAGGGATGTAATGCTGGAAATTTTTATGGTCATTGATGAAATTAAAATTTTTAAATTGCGGTATGCCCTGAATAATAAAGGTTATAATAATAAATGTGAGAAATATCCATTAGGAGTTTATAAAAAATAAATGATATTAAGGGGTCTCTTAACTCAGGAATGAATTTAAGCATGAATATTGATTATACTGAAAGTAAAAATTAAGATATAATAAATATAATTCAGCCAATAAAACGTATAAAATTGCAATGACCAAAAGAGATGGACAGTGTTCATGCCCTAATGATAATTTAAAAATTAATAATAAAAATATTAAATACTCTTTGATACAGTGCAAGAATTTTAATAATGTCAAGTGAACAATATTACAAATATTGGCCAAAAGGCACCCTTGAAAATGAGAATGTGTATTTGACAATTTGAAGGATCTGAAATTTTGGTTTTGGGTAAATTCAAAATAAGGGTGATTCTTAATAATGAGAACAGCTCTTAATTTATGGGTAGTGGGGAAAATGGAGACTATTATGAGTAGGATTGGATCGCCCAACTAAGTCCTAAACATAATTATTTTGATATTGTTACCAACAATAGTGATTTAGCAGCAGATATTACTGAAAGGAAAATAATTGCGGATAGCATGAGAAAAAAAATTAGAGAAGAAATGGTTAATTTATTGAGTGAGGAAGCTCATTAATCATCATATTTGTGAAACTCCAGAAGAGTTAATTGTCGAGCCGTGTTTTAAAAATTTTGAAATTGAAGAATTTAATCAAGTTCGTGATGTTATACCTATTTTATTGGAGAAATATGGTGTAATATTTGAAGACACTTTTGGATATATTAATAAATATCGAGTGGATGTTAAACTGAAAGAAGATTTTTAACTAATTGGTTTAACAAGTCGACGCGCCTCTTTTGAATGGAGATTAAGTTGAACTTACTGACAATTACTATTTCTAAAGGTTTATCTAAGTCAGCGCCTATTTTTCAACGTACCATGCCTTTAGATGATGTGTTGATTACTATTAACACTGATGGGCCAACCCTACTAATTTTATATTCTGGTTGACTGTTCTTTACAGTAATTTAAAATTTTAAAGTTGAAAAATGTGAAATCTATAGCTAATAACAAGTATCTGTATCTAGATTTTAGATATATCTATATTTGGGTACTTTTATATAAATATATTTTATATTTAAATAATATTTGAATAAATTTAATAATGTCCGAGCTTTCATTACAAAAACAAACCGGACATATTTGATTTTACGCAATGGATGATGACAAAAATTTGAGAATGTTTTAAAAATCTCATAATTATTGCTTATAATTATATATTTTGTATATGTATTGTTAAAATGTAACAATTATTATTTACTAATAGAGAGCCCATCAAGAATGATGGGGATTGAAAATTTTATCCTTGATTTGATGATGAGTATTACCTTTTATTTGATACCCATATCCAATTTTTATTTTCTACCCCCCCCCCCCTCCTCTTTCCAGACCTAAGTCAAACCCATTACGACCAATAAAAAATACTATTATTTGAGTTACATAATTTTGAATTCTTATATTTGATAACCATATTTATATTTTGTACTTACGAATTTTCCTGACCCCCCAAGACATAGACCCGCCCACTTAGAGTGATAATTACCATTACAATCAAAAGAAATTATCTTTAATTTGATATCCATTTTAACCCTCGACCCTCTCCAGACCTAGTCCAACTTATTAAGACAAGAGTGATTACTATTATCTGAGTCAAAAAATATTTTAATTCGCTTTTATTTGATGCCATATCAATATTTTATGTCGATAAAATTGATCTACTAAAACCTAGGTCCAACCACTTAGGGTGATAATTATCATTAGAATCAAGATATTTTCATTACCTATTATTTGATGCACTAAGTTCAGCCCATTAAGATCAAGAGTGAATATTATCAGTCAAAAATATAAATTAGATTTTATTTGATACCCATATAGATATTTTGTGTAAATTAAAGACAACTTTAAAATAAATAAATAAAAATAAAATAAGAGAACCCGTGAAGGCATAACGCTAAGCTAACATAGTGCTAAGCTGCTGCGATAAATGTTCAGTTATCGTAATTAGTCGTGATTTCGATTCCAAATCAGGATATTGTTACACTTTGTAACAAAATATGACAAAAAATTATAACAAAATGTGACAAACTTTTTACTATATTTAAAAAAATTAGCTCACTTCAAAATTTGAATTTTAAAAATAGAAAACTAAATTAGGCATGCACACCTTAGATAATTATATAAAAAAGCATCTTATAAAAAATTGTATTTATGTTAAGATATATTTGCAAAAATTGTGTCGGTATATAGATACATTATAGACGTATTTGGATACGTTTTAGGTGATGTTTCCCGACACATCTTATATGATGTCTATGTATCTCATTTCTATTTGAAAAATATATACATCTCACATATTTTATATCATATTTCATGATGATTTAATAGTTTTTGAAATATTTGAATTTGTTGAGCTTTTGGTAGAATAGCCCCATTTTTATAGTTATGTAATTTTCTAAAATGACTATTATACAGAGTTGGTAAAGATAAAACACACTCTCCTTTAGAAAAGTATAATTATAACTATAAACACGAAAACTTAAATATCATTTCATAATTAATTATTTATAATTTTTATATTTTATTATTTAATTTTGAAATTGAAATATATATTTTCAAAATTTGTATTATAAACCTATGTGTAAATTATTTAAAATGTATAATGAAATTGATGTGAGTCAGACAATAAAAATATTAACAAATGGAAGGTACACTAGAAGAAAATAAAATTTTTGATAACAATAATACGAATTTTTCTTTTCCAAAATTTGAAAAATATTTTCAAATTAACGGAAAAACAAAAGGTGGCTACAAATTTATCTATGTAGGAAAAATATATCTTCAAATTAGGCAGGTAATTATTAACTCATAACAAACCTAGTTGGAATTTTGTTCATAATGATATCAAATTAGTACCATTTTGATGGGTGAAAGAAAATTGGAAATGGATTTTCTCTGTGATCAAGTTGGAATTCAATGGATTAACGATGAAAATCCTACAGATAATTTTAATAAAAATTCAATTTCATTTTTATATTTTAATTTTTTTTATGTGGCTGTTTCCCTTTAATTTATGGAAGGTGAGGATAATATGGAGAGGGGATATTATTCCCAATGTGAGTAACCCATCTACAAAATTAGATATTAAATCTAAACTTGTGCCATTCCCTCATAGACTCTATACTAGCCAATGATTGATCCATAATTTAGATTGGTTTAAATTACTTAGAATTAAATATTATATAGAATTTAGGTGATATAGTTGTTCTGATACTGAATGAATAATTTATTCTAACTTAAAAGTTCTGAGATTTATTAAATTTTAATGATTAAGATATATTTTAAATATACTAATTTTTTTAACTAATTAGATTCCTCAAACTATACAATGATGATGTATTAGCTGCCATGATTCATCCAAATTTTAACTAAACTGGCCAAATTAAGTCATTTGGATCTAAAGTGTGATAAGTTAATAATGGAGCTAATAATCTTATACCAAACAAAGATACATTAGTTACAACTCCAAAAGCAACTTCTTCAGTTAATTTTTT